TCAACGGTTTGGCCAAATAACTGATTTTTCCACGACTTGTATAAACTGGATGATTTGTTTTAAAATTGTTCATTTCATGTCGAAATTAGATGGTTATTGGTCATCATGAACCTGGAGGAAGGGCTGTAACACCATTTTAATACAAATGCCTCGCTGTTTAACTAACAATTCTAACATTTCTTTCGAACTGTTATTACATTGGGTTTTACAATCAAAAATTGTCTTTCCAGGTTATGATAAGCCGTTTAGGTGACTGCCCTTCAACTGCTGGTGTCATGAATGTCAATTATATCACTTAGTTTGTTCATGGGAATATTATATTTTCTGTAAAAAGTGTTTTGACAGATTGTCGCTACCTTTTAGCAATATTTTTTTCGTTTTTTTACTTCTATAGTTTACACTTTGTTCTTGTTGGAATTTGAGTGTGTTTGAGGTGCAGCTTTTTAAGGGTTCTTCGTTTTAATTGATGTATCGATTGTACTGCTGCTAATTTTGATCACTTTCACTGATCCTCTTGCTCTAGCCTAATTCAGTTTCTTTGCCTTCACTTTTGATGGGGTTTTGGTGGGTTTCAGTTCTCAAAAAGATTTACTATTTTTAATAGTAAAGCTGCGTGAGGCCGTTCGTTTTCAACAGTGATTCCTTTTTGCTTTGAGCTCGTCACGAGTAATTGAAAGACATGAAATTTTGGTGGATTAGTGTGCGTGTGGAAAAAGGGCGGCCACCCAGAAATATTTTGTGGTGATGGAAGAGGTTGAGATTCCCCTTTTGTATGTAAGTGGAGCTTGTTTTCGTTTTTCTGTTGTACTACGTTGTTTTTGACTTCAAGTGATTAAATTGTCACAGTTTTGTCACGCTATGAGAAGCAACTAGCACATAATTAACTTTTTTTCAGCACATCTTACAATGATAGTTTACAAATATAAGACAGACAGCAAGCCCACCAACAGACAACGGTAATATAACGAGAAGAATTATTAACGTACTGCTTTGGCTTCTTCTAATTTCTCTCACTGTGTCCTGAAAATCAAGAATAGATATGTGGACTAATAAATTTGAGTGTGTATTGCTGGAAGAGGTCATGCAGTAATAAAATTCACCCTGTAGTTTCTATGTACATCTGCTGAGATCTCATTGAAGTGATCAATCATACTGCGGAACGATGCGTAGGTGTTGCAGCGATCTCCTTCACAGGCGCATACCTTAATTATATCTGTGATGCAGTGGAATATCTCTCTCTCTCAGCATCTTAACACTACCCACATATAGCGCTGCTTCAACCGTTATGGAAGCAGTGCTATATTTTTTTTAGCAGTGAATCTAAACAATTTAACAGGACCATTTCGTAAAAGTTCGTTGTTCATAAAATGCGAGAATCCCAACAGCACGTAAGCAAATGGGAAGAATTAAGACAGGTACTTACTTCGCTCCACTCATCGATATTTCTACCACAGCTATCCACCAGTTGAAAGTCATTACCAACGCATCTTTGCGTTAAAAGTGGTTCAGCTATAATTAACAACAATAAAAATAGTAATAATGATAGAAACAACCTAATGATAACTAAAATAGTAGCAAGTAATAAGAGCAGTAATAGAAGTAACTGAATAAATGACAGCCATTACTTCTAAAACTTAATAATCTTGACTGGCCATTAAATTAAGACTAATAATTTGCCAATTGATAATTAACGAATAGTCCGATAATCGGTTACAGTAACTTACATCTGGAATATCCGAGGTAGCCAACAGCGCATCGATCACCTTCACATGTATAAGAATCTAAGCATGAATGCTTGTCGCAAATGCATCGTATTTTACCATCTTCAAATAAACCTTTCTGTATATATGAACAAATAAAGTTGTTTATTCACTTATTTACATACAATTTTGAACTGAATCCATTTCAGTGCGCAAATATTTTCTAAAGCGGAGAAAAGAGGAGTGGGGTTAGAGATCTGAAGGACAAGGAGAGTTGGGTTCTTAGCTATCTTAATCATTTCTTTAACATCTATTTGTCAACCTTACTAAGCCGACTAATGATATGTATATTACCTTAAAACGGAGGCGATATTTAAGCAACTGATAAATGAAAAAAAAAAAAAACAAAATAATCTGTTACGATCTGAACTGAAAGAAAATTAAAACTGGACAAAAAATACACGACGAATATATATGACAATAATAAAAAACCTAAGTCCCACTTAAGTTAAATATTGTTTTAAAAGATAAATACTTTCATAAAAAATATATTTTTATATTCGAAATAAAACCAGTTGAAAGTTTTACTGTCTTTTTTGACGTTAAATGTTAAACATTTTGTTATTTGGAACAAATAAATTCAGCATTTTAACTTTCTATGTTCCCACTTTTTTTTAAAAACTGATTTAAAATCAAATTTTATTTTACTCACTTCTCAGTATAATTTATTTTAAATTTTCTGTGTGTAATGTTTCGTGATCTGCATAAATTATTGCTTTTAGTATTCAGCCAAGGGAATATCGAATAAATGCGAGTGGCAAAAAAAAAAAAAAAGTTGCATCGATTTGAAGTCTATGAAGTATAAAAAGGAAAAGGTAACGAGTATATAACATTGGTAATAAAAGTAATATCAGTGTCAGTAATATTTCCAATTCGAATGACTAAGAAGCAGTTTTAGTAATATACAGTTTCAGAAGAGAAGACCAATTTGAATAGTTGAAAAAAATGGTCAATATTTGCCCAACAAATTATTCAATCTGTTGATCACAAAAACGCTTTACACATCACTTCACAATGCTGCTGCTTTTGAAGCAAAATCTTCTTCAAAGATCAAACATTTCAATCAGTAAACAGACCAAAAAAACAGTAGCGAAAAATGCTCATCCAAAGAAAAAAAAAACAGAAAACAGCCAAGAAGCGTGCGTGTAAAATGTCGGTTAGTTGAACCCTCAAGAAAAAAACTGTATCAACAAAACCAAAACCATGAGAAAAAAATAAAAATTAAACTTTGGTCTGATGATTGTTCAAAAAAGTGTATGTAGAATAACGACTTATAAAAATATAGAACGAAAACCACCCTCCAGACATTATGTACATTTATCAACATATTTGATTTTCTGCTAAACACCATATTGTGTCTCGTAAAACAAAACAAAAGCTGAGATGACAATGATTTAATATGTGGCTTTGTTTCAGTTTTTTCTCCCGCTGTTGCTGTTGTTGACGAAGGCAAAAATTAACACTTGAATGACGTTTGAAGATCAGGAAAAAAAAAGGAAAATACGCAGAGGTCAAAAAAATCTTACAGGTTCCTGATGTGAGCAACAATGCTAAAAGCAAAACCGCTAAAAGCATTCCTCATAGACTGTTAGTATTGGGACCACTACATCCATTCGACGCTCATATAATCATCGTCATCGTCATCATCATCATCATCATCATCATCTTCAACTAATTTCTGTAACAAAAAAAACATCATACTTCAGGTACCATAGGTCATCAAAAACACCATCCAATTACAACAACAACCATCGCTTTAAGCCATGCAACAAATATATACATCATTTCTTTCTTCTTCCTCTCTTCCGTCGCTTAAACAACAACATATTTTAGTTGATCTGCAAAAATCAACATAAAATTTGATCACCCACACAGCGCGGTTAATTGGCAGCAAAATAATTGTCAAAAATAGCAACAACAACAACAATAATTATGCTTAATAAAAACATTGGGTTTACATACATTACAAAGACATGTAAATTGTCAACTGCAAAAAAAAAAGAAGAATCAAAAGTTTGAGCTATAAAATGAATTTTCTTACAAGCTTTAAATCTAATTAGAACACTTGAAATTTGCTTGAAATATTTAAAACATTGCGATTTATCTAACTAACAGAATATCAATCATCACTCTACTTAGGAACTGAAAAACAAAAAAATTTCTTGTTTTCCCACCATTCTTTCAACAACAAATTTTTCTAATGCTCCTTTAATCAACTGAATCAGTTTAATATGTAAAAAAATTACAAACATATTTTTAATGTTGCTGCCAAATTTAAGCCGAATATTAAAAACCGATCACCATCAATTTGAACTGATTTGTTTTCTCACCGATAGCTCTAATAAAACTAAATAAATTTTCCATTTAAAAACAAATTTGCTTCTTTCCTTTTTTGTTACTTAGAATCCATATTAATCTTCAGATAACAGTTGATAGAACTACTTGCAATACAATGATGAAGAAAGTTTAGGTCATCTGTTGAAAGGTCACCAAATTTTTGATTTTTTTTCTCATTTATATCGGCTTTCTATCTTTTATTCCGCCTTCTCTTTCGTCTAATTTTTTACGATAAATTAATAATAATTGGTTTGACTTTAAGACGGACGAAACAATTGAAACGGCAAATATTTTTTCGAACGATAAACAACCGGGTATTAGCAGTAAAATAAGCAGAAAAAAGAACAATGTATGAGAAAAAAGAATAATAAATTGAAAAAGGAAACACTTTAAAAGCAAAAACATCACCAAAACTGCAGCAAAATCTGTTATAACAAATCTGAACAGCAGCTAAATGAGTGTAACCAGAAAACACCAAAGATTGATATCAGCTTTCCAATTACAAATTTCGGATATTTCACCACCAGCAGTAACGGCAGCCAAAGCGCCGCCATCACTACCATCAGCACCACTTCAACATTTATCCTTTGTACTCCCCTCAGATGTTACTTGATATTTGATTATTGCGTGGAAAAGCAAGACTTTTTATTTCAACTCTTAAAATGATGTGAAGAAAAGAAAATTTCTCTTCTTTGTTAAGTATTTTAAATAAAATAAACCAATGTTTTGTGGAAAAAAAAAATAATTTGAAGCTTCAACAAATTTGTCACATTTAACATCTACGCTTTCCACATTTCTTTTTTCTTCTTTTTTTTTTCTTCTTTCTTCTCGCCCTCTTCCTTCTCCATCCGCAGTTCATTTTCACCTTTAATCAAATTTTAAACATTGTACAAAACAAAAAAATGATGATAATAAAGAATGAAAAAAAAATCTTACTAATTTAATGTACCAAATTGTTGAACAAGATCAAAACGAATAGTGATTGTAAAGAAAAGCGTAAAAAAACGCAACACAATTTAATCCTTTTTTTTATTCTAATCAGTTACTCTCAACTTTTATCATCATTTAATTTATTAATTGTTTCTTGTTTCTTTTACACACAACATCTTTGAAACATATTCTTTGTACAGACAAATGAGAATCACCAAAGAACACGCTGTCTGAATAACAATTAATCTTTGAAGAACAGCAAATATATAGACAAGCAGGAAGAAACGCATGAGAAAAAATTTTCTTTAAAGCTTTACATGATGCAAAAAAATGTGTTTTAAAAATTCTTTCTTTCTTTTTTTACTTGACAAATGTCATTATTTTAGTAGTTTCAAATAGCGACGTCACTAAAAAGATAAATCAAGTAAAATTCTATAAAACAAAATCACCCCCATCCTCCTTGCCATAATATCACCGATACAGCCAAAGCTGATCACATCAAAATGACCAAATCTTTTTTATCTCTGTACGCCAGCACCAGCAGCAGCAACAACAACAACAACGATGCCCAAAAAAGTACTTTTGGAACTTTCAGAAGCAACAATCTGCCTCAAACAAATACAAAAATACTACTTGGCGAAGTTGTCGATGGCAAGAATCATCCCAACTGCTGCGACTGATCATCTTAATGCCGACAGCAGTAGTAACAATCAACAAAAAATACAAACTTCTTCAGCATTATCTATCTCATCGTCATCATCATCATCATCGTTGTTATTCATCTGTTAAACAGACGTTCATCAAACAGTTAAAAAAAATGATGTTTAATTTCTGCTTAGTTGATGTAAAAAAATGAAGTAAAAGGAAAATAAAACAAAAAGTAATTAGTAAGCTTTAAGCAAGTTTTAAGTTTATTCTTTTATCTAATTAGTGTATCTAAGATGAGTGTTGAAAACACTGTTTGACAGACTGCTTTTTTCTTTTCCTATTGCTCCTCAATTCATTTGAATTCATTTTTTCTGGTTCTTCATTAAGATAATTGAAGTCTTTTCTACTTTTTTTTTTCTTTTTTGAATTTAAAACTGTATCAGCATTACGCTGAGTCACCTAAAAAAACAACAAACAACTGAAATGATCCAAAGCAATACAGAATCGGACAGCAGTCAACAAAATTATTAACACTCTTTCTCAGTTTTTTTTTTCGGTTTGAAAATAGAAGATTTAAAAAAAAAGAAATTTTTTTCTTCTACTACTTCTTTTTGCTGCTGCTACTTCGGATGCGAAAAAAACGGCATTTATAACTTTATGTCATAACTAGCGTAAAAAAGATTGACACATTTTAAATGATGAATTATTGACGATGTGCTGGTATTGGTACATCCTTTCAGAAAAAAACTGAAAAGTTATGAACAGGACAATATAAAACAACAGCAATTAAATGGCGAACAACTGCTTTGTTGTCTTATCCTGCAATTTTTTTTAAGTTGCCGTTAAGAAATAGATTAAAAAAAAGAAAGGGAGAAACAAAAGAGAGAAACTAAAAATCTTTTTGACTTTAATATACCGAAAGCAAAGCAGAAAAAAAAGGAGACCACAACAAGACTAAATTTGTTCTTATACTTCATCTTTTTGTTCTGTATATTCAATATTTCAGCGAAAAAAGATTTCTTCTGGACCCCATTAACAAACTTATCTTCCAAAATACATAAACAATATTTTAAGTCAAATAATACTACTTTTAGAATCTTAAACTTACATACAAATAATAATCCAACAAATAATTTAGCAAAATAAAGCCAAAATTGTCACAGACATTTGAAGAGTGTCGACTGATTCAGCAGCAATAACATTCATATAACAGCAGCAGTAGCGACAACGACAAATGCAAAAAAAACAACCAAATCATATCAATTGTTTGAAATAAAAAAAGTGAATGCAAAAAAAGATTTGTTTAATTAGTCAATAGTATGAAAAAATATAACTTTAAAACTTTTTTTTACCTTTTCTCTTACCTCATCAACAACTAATTAGAAACTGCCAAATTAATTCAGCATCTGATCAACGCCGACACCATCAATGAATGCACTTTTTTCTAACCTTTATCTCATCATTATCAATGCCTATTTTGAGAAAAGATAAACATGCTGTTGCTATTGCTGCTTTTTTTTTGGCTTCAGAACAGACTTTATCTATTCATTGTAAACAAATTGAAAT